GTCTATCAACATGAAACGCATCCATATCACCCCCCACTAACAATCCACGCCATCTTCCATAAATAGCCATATGTCATCTAACTAACTTCAAACCTCTTAATGGAAGCTATCAACATCATCTCCACTTAATTTAATTCCAAATTCTATGCAATCCCCGCGTGGTATCTCTAGTTTAATATAACTGTGACACACAACTGGACACTTGAGAGCCCAGGAGAATACTCGGCTAAATCAGCGTATGCAGTACAGTTTGCATGACAAATCAGCTCCAATTACCTGGCTTTGATTTGGAATGTATGGGCACCGCCGAAATGCAAATTCTTCATATGGCTGCTCCTCCAAGATAGGCTGTGGGTAGCGGTGCGATAATAGCTGCGGGGATGGAAGAACAACTACTTTTGTGCGCTATGCGAAAGAAACTTGAGACGGCACAACATCTGTTCTTTGAGTGCCCCTACTCTCGGTTGGTCTGGCAGCTTGTGGCCTCCTGGAGCTCCTGCAACAGCCTTAACCCGGCTAGCTGGAGGGATGAGCGCGACTTAGAAGACCGGTACAGTCAGGCGTTGGGAATAGGGGGAAAGAGAGGAAAAACTCTGGTAATACTGACGTTGTGGATCATCTGGAACCGGAGAAATGCTGTCATTTTTAGGGGATGCTGGAAGACGCCGCAAGCAGCGGTCACGGAGATAAAGGACACTGCGCAGCAATGGTCCCTAGCAGGATGCAAGGCCTTCAGGCCAGCCACGGTCGTTCAAGTCGTTAGTGAATAGTGAGTAATTAGCTAGGTAAACAAACCCCACGCAGCCTAGGTTGTGGAGGGGAGCGTCGCTCGCGCATGTAAACTCGGATGTTTGCTTCTCCACTCATTATTAATCAAAGCCGGTTCGTGCGGATCTTTCAAAAAAAAAAAACTGCAACACACAAGAAGGTGCCTTTGTGAGTTAGAGAAAATAGGTCACGTTTTGACAACATGATTACATGATGATGGCTGCACGCGTGATTGTGGTCCAAATTAAATTGCATTGTCAAAGAGCAGCAGCATCTACCAGTTCTCTCCAAATAAAGTATTAAAAAGATATTCTCTCCTTTTATGAATTGTTATGATGTGGTTATCTGAATCCATTCCCCCACACGTACGCCTTGAGTGAGCGCGCGTGCATATATCAGCACGCCCGTGGTATCATTGCAACACTATCTGCCGTTCTTTGCAAGACCAGCTGGCAGAGAGGAGATTTAGCAGGGATTGGAGCAAAAAAATTGCTTACCGTGCACTGCACTCCCTGTGGTGCACTCTTTCTGGGTGTGCGTGTGTGTGCCGCACCTAAAGTAGTGGATTAGAATGGCGCGCGGTACACGTAATTGAAGTACATGCATGATGTACATAGTACAGATCCCGTTAGGGTTGCACTGTACCTGTCCACTGGAACAGTAGCTGCTTGTGGCGTCCGGTAGGCAGGCGGTGGATCGGACATGTTTGTATTATTATGCCGATTGACTGGCGCCTGGACGTCTGGAGGCCTGCGTCCGTCCGTACACCCGCAGCTGCTCCGCCCCATCCACTTGGATTCGCGCGCCAGCTCCATTTCCTGCGCTCGCATCTGAACTTCCCGCTTCAGATCCACGCCCACACTGCTCGGATGACTTGCTCCTGCATCTTCCACACCGGTGCGGCGCACGTCTTTTCCAGGCCGTCCAGAAGACTCGCCCTCGCCTCTTCCATAGCAGCACCGTGTGGCCTGTGTGCCTCCTACCCACACCAACGGCAGTGGCCTGCGCCTCCTCCACGCGTCAGTGGCCGCGGCTTGGGCCTGCCCGCCCTCATGGACACCGACGCCGGCAGGTCTGCACTTGCAACATGAAACACTTGAATGCAATTGAAACAGATGAAATATTTGGGACATACGCTTGCAACATGTGTGTGAAACATATGCAACATCCAGATAAAATAATTGCAACATAAAAAAACATTTCCTCCAACGTAATACTAAAACATCTCAAACATTTAGAACATATTGTTGCAACATATGTGTGAAAACATGTAACATCCAGATAAAAAACGATTGCAACATACGTTTGGAATCAGATGAAACATTTTGAATAAACGCTTGCAACATGTTTCTGAAACACTTGCAACATATAAAATATGTGCAACATCCCCGATCTACTTTTGCAACATCCGTAAGAAACAACTGCAACATACCTTTGAAATGACTGAAACACCGAAACATACATTTGCAATATAGGGGAGGGGAAGCCTGGACCGGTCGATTCCAGCCGTCGGGGTCGGGAGCCGGTGGCTAGTGGTGGCGGACGAGCACCACCGCCCCTAGCGCCACCAGTACCGGGCTTGGCTCGGCGGCGACGGTGGGGGGATGGGGGGCGAGGAGCGCCATGCCGCAAGGGTGGGGGGGGCGCCGCGCCGGGGTGGAGGAGAGCCACCCACTCCCCTACAACACGGCCGCGCCACCTTCATGGATCACGCTGGAGGCAAGTGGATATCACTCGTGCTTCATGGATCTCACCGGGTGGGGGAGAGGGCCGCCGGATTTGCGGGCGTTGGGGGCTCCCGGTGCAGGAGGACGCTTGGCGTTGGTGCGCTGCGGCAGGGGATGAGGAGCGCAGAAGGGGTAAGGGCGGGAGCGGAGCGAAGCGAGGTGTGGGGGAGTTGATTTTGTTTTTTTTTATGTGAGCGGCGCATGTGGCAATGAGTGGTGCGAGGCGTCCGGTCTTCGGACGTCTTAATGGTAGCATTAACAATTATTATGTTCATCGGATATTCGGATTTGCTGGCACGCAAGCGAAATAAAACCCGACCGGGACAAATCGAGTGAGGACAGAAAGTGACCAATAGTAGTGTGTTACTGCTATGAGAGTTTGGATGAAATTGAAGCTGAGAATAGGAAGCATGCATGGTTGTCATTCACTAGATAGTCTAGTCGTAGGCCTGACTGCCTGAGCGGCTGAGCAGGGCTGCAGGGCCCTTAATTCCACTCCAGTAAGCAAAATCATGTTTGAATCCCACAATTGTGGTCTAAATTTTTTAAAATTTTCCGATTGGCATCAAATTTCGGTGCAAGAACATATATGGAGCATTAAATATAGGTGGTAAAAGAATAACTAATTGCACAGTTTGACTAAGTATTGATTGGTTTCGATAAGCGCCCAGTCTTTTAAGCCTAAATAGTCTATAATTGGACAATTTTTACCAAATACAAACGAAAAGTATTACTGATAAGCTAAAAAAGCCAAAAATTTCAGGTTGGAAACGGGCACCCTTTTATAAAATCATGTGCTCGAATCAACTATTGGCCTGTTGACCATGAGGAATTTGGAGTAATCTGAGAGGATATGTTTTTACCATAATCAGAAGAACTCAGAAGAATTTTTTAGAAAAAATTTTATAACTTTATATAGAAACATGAATGATAATCGATTCAAACCGGGGCAGGCGGCAGAGCAGCATCGATTCCTATTGTTGTAACTTGGTAGTGAACTCGATTGGCAATTGGCAACAAATCGATGCAAGAACCCATGATGAGCATGAGCATCGGTTGTACTTGGTAGTGAACTCGAACTTGTATATTTGTAACTGGCAGCCCCCCACGCACCTCTTTTGACTAAGTATTGATTAGTTTCAGATAAGGTGCAGGCCGGGCACCCTTTTATAAAGGAACCATGCATCGAGCACATATGTTAAGCTTGGTGACCATGCAACGAGGACGTACAGAGATGAGAGGAGAGATGTTAGTATACCATACAGAAGAACTGAAGAAGGGCGCGGTCGCCGGTCCTTTTAGGAAAATGATTTTATAACTTTATATAGAAACATGAATATGATAATCGATTAGTGTAGGGGCAGGGCGGCAGGCAGCATCGATTCCTATTGTGATGTGTTGAACGCGTTGAACCGAGCCATGCTTTAACCTATATTTTGATTGATCGTCATCATATTGCAAAAGGTGCCTAGCTTCTTGTCTAGTCCTATCACCATCCAAAAATAGTACAACCTACTCTACCATAATTCTAAGCCAAAAGCTACATACTTAGTTTTGACCAAATTCATACAAACAAATTTACGATACAAATATGACATTCGGTGACTTGTATTGTATACTATCATATTTATATGACATGGAAGCTTTTGAGAGAGACATGATACAATGCAATAGGACTACAAATCCTATAAAAATAAAGTTGTAGTACTCTAGCTATGGGAGTTTTGGGCTTTGATCCAAAGGAAAGGATTGTGGTGCTGTCGGAGTTTTCAAGTAGGCCATAGGCCCAATATTTCGGCCCATAAAGATACACGGTGAGAGGGGGGCGATGTGGCATCCAGCTGGGCCAGCAGCGGCGCCAGTCCTCCCACACCGGCCACACGCTCCCGTGGTGGATGGCAAAAGGCCGCCGGAGCTTCACCGGGATGGATCTCCCTACCGTTTTGTGATTGCATTGGGGGGAGATAAGAGATGACGCACGGATTCCAGTCTGGATCATCTAGTAATCCTACGCGGGGCACTGCTTCTCCGGTAGCACATCCTCTGCTGATTGCTGAATTTTAACATTTTTTTTATTGGAAAACAAATGAAGAACTCATGTACATCAGTTGTAATCGTAGAGAAATCGAAATATATTTATACACATAACTATGTCACAGCCTCATAAACACCCATTTTATGTGGGCCTCCACTCACAAAGGCTTGCCCTGCAAATAGAACGGTTAATCCCCAGCTAAACCTGAGCAGCAAGGCAATGGGAAATTGAGCTCCATCAACCTGAGCATGATTGTCGGTATATCTTTGGCCTTTGGGTGGTATTATGCATTATGCTACATAAGGGACTGAGGTACTCCTATTACATCTTCATTGATTACTTGTACCACAAGGTGTGTGTCCATACCAATGACACTTGGAACTTACGGGCCGGGTGAGAAAGAGTCTATGGTTTGGACACACACCTTGTGGAAGAAGTAATAAGAGTACATCAGTCCCTTATCTAGCATAATGCAGAATACCACACAAAGGTCAAAGATGAACCTGACAATCATGCTCAGGTAGATGGAGTTCGATATCCCATTGTCTCGCTGCTCAAGCATAGCTACCATATATTGCTACATAACCAGTGTTGGTTGAATGATGTTTCCTGGATTTTGCAGCTCTAGATCCTTTCCCCTCTCCACAGCAGCATCGGCTATTGGTAGACGCCATGGGCCATACCACCTTCCATCAAATATAATGCACATACATCCAATTCTTGAATTGTTTGCTGGCTGTGCTCTCACATTGTAGTCATCCTAAAACAGAGTACCAAAATGCTAAGCATGAATGAAACAAGTGCATCACAAAATTAGCATTATTCATGGGTAAGTTTATGAAATAGCTAGAAACAACATGGATTACATACCAAACGCTTTTGAGCTTTCTAGCTAGGGATGGGAGCACTTTTTCCACTGTCGTCCACCTTTTAAACCCAGGCTTCATTATAGCATATGTATTCAAAGTGCCTGCCTTCTCAGGACCGGTAAACATTTTATGCCTAACACAGTTCCGGCACTTGGCACAAGGACACTTAATGGTGCTATCTTCAACAAGATTAGGCATAGAAAAAGCACCATCTATAAATCTGTTAGTGTTTTCAATCCAATCACTAGACGGAGCCTGTGTAGTACATCCACCCCCGTTCTGCCATTGTTTTTGGTTCTGTCATAAAAATATTATATTTGATACCAAATATTTTTGCATATCCATTAACCATATCTTAACATTAGTTTCTATAGATTTATCAAATAATTCAACATCATAACAAGATATTCAAATATATATGTGCAAAAAAGAAAAAAAAAACTGGCAATAAACTAGTTTACTAGTAGCCTACTGATATGCAAAGCACATTATCTATCTTTGGATCATCACAAAATTGATAATATGTAGCCTGTAAAACTGAATGCACTGAACTGGATAGAAAAAATCACTATCTTTGCACGGGTTTAGTAGTCAGCAGATCGACATCAACATACCAAAATCGCACAATTTCATTAGCATACCAAGAGCAAAAACAATATCAGACTGTACAAGTGAATTCACTGAACTGAACAAAGAAAATATCACTAACTTTGTACAGCTTCAGTAGTCACCGGATCAACATCAACATATCAAGATCAATTTCAGTAACATACCAAGGACAAAAAAAAAAGGGTACCCGTGCATGCCTAATTACTTCATATGCATCTATCACGACCATAATGCAAAATTTAATTGGTGAAATAGAACATGTGAATATGGCATCATTACCTCAACTGGACTGGAGGCAGCAGCAGTATTGCGAAAAAGTCACTGTTGCAGGGCCTTGAAGAGGGCTGCCTGCTTTGGCATCGGAGATGTGGCCTCCAACATCGATGTGGGAGCGTCCAAGCAAGTCAGCCCCTCTGAGGCTCTTCCAGATTCAGCGCTGCAGCAAATTAAACTCCTTCAAGGCTTCAACGGAGAGAAACTTCACAGACGACTCTTTGGGAACGGGCGTGAAGATTTGGCCGGAGGGAGGGAGGAAGGGTAGATTGGGGGCGCTATTTCACACAGCGAAGAGGGATGGATTGGAAGGAGCGAGAGGGAGGGCCAGCTGATGGGAGAAGAGAAGCCAGCGGGTGGTGCCGCCCACACACGGTGATGAGATGTGCGCGAGTGGGCGTGGCGAGATGGGCGACGGTGGCGGTGTGGTGTCTGCGCAGGAGTCCGTGAGCGAGGCAGCGCGGGGACCGGCGAATACAGCCCGGGTGGTCGTGGCGAGATGGGACGCGGCGCGGGTGGGCGACTGTGCCGCACCCGCGCCGTGCAGCGGCGAGATGGGCGGCGCTGTGTCCGCCCGACGCCCAGGACATGTTTTGGGTAAGAAAATGCGTGGCTGGGGTGTGCAGGATTTATAAGCAGCAAGAAGCGGCTGTTTGATAAAAAATGAGGTGTTTGGTTGGGTGCCCATTCATGGTCCTAAGTTCTAAAAAGTTATCTGTCCTATTCGTTTGACTTATAAGCTGTATTTTTTCAGTCAATAAATAATATTTTTCTTTTATAATAAATCAGTCAATGGTACTTTCAATCATAGCTTATCAGCCAAACAAACAGGGTAATCGTAGAGAATCAGAGTCTTTGGTTGGGTGTCTAACCTGCTTTAGACTATTTCCAACGGTGGGACGCAAACACAAAATGCGTACTGCACGGTGTTTTGGGTAGCAAAATCATCCTCCAACGGAGGACCGAAACCGGATACGCATTTTGGGTGCTCGGCAAGTTGGAAGGCATTTCTGCCTCTCCGAAGAGAGACAACGCAAACATCCAGTGGGGGCCTCGTCGGAGCCGCAGTGGCGCAGCGCCCTCCCCTGCACTGCGGCCCACCTCCCCGGCGGCGCGCGCAGCAAGCTTGCTCCAGCGGGACGAGCCCTGCCCCGGCGCGCGGCCCACCTCCACCTCGGCCACGCCATCCTCCTCACCTCCACCATCTCCCTCCTCCGCACGGGATCGAGCGCGGGCGCGAGCTCCGCCGGCGCGGGCGCCACCGGCCGGATCCGGGAGAGGGAGGGTCGGGGAAGAAGAAGGGGAGGGAGGGGGGCCGGATCCGGCCGGGAGAGGGAGGGAAGAAGGCAGGTGCGCTGCTGCTCGCCCAGGACACCGCTGCTCCCGGCGACCATGGCCTTGAGCTCCGCCCTCGAGCTCTGCCCAGTGCGCCGGCGGCGAGGCCTGCTGCTTCCCCGTCCAGATCTGGTTCGCCCTCGAGCTCCACCCAGCCCCCGCCGCTCGCCCAGCCGGCGCGCTCGCTCGCTCGCTCCGCAGCCCGCCGCCGCCTGCTCGCTCGCGTTTTTCTTTTGCGGTCGCCGTTGGAGACCAAAAGATATGGGTTCGCTACCCTTTTACTGTAGGCGACGTAAATGGTGGAATGGGTCTCTGATTTAGATTCCCGTCGTTGGAGATAGTCTTAGAAAGTCAGTTTTGGGTTGTTTGGTTAAGCTCAGCCAGGTCCTAGTCGACCACCGACCAGTCCGTAGCCTGGCTCGCTAAGAAAGCGAAGGGTGCTCGTTTTTCCTAAGCCAGGTCTAGCCGGCGCTTGCATCACCTCTTGCCCATCAATGCCCGTCGTCTCACCTCGCGTCACTCCTCGCGACCTCTCCTGCTGCTTTGTCGAGCACTATGCCGAGCCGGCGAGCTCCTTTGGGCCACCCAGTGCCCGTTGCACCACGACGTGGCTAGGATGCAGCGTCAAGGGCGCATCGGGCAGTACAGGGCACGCCGAGCCGCCGAGGTTGCCGTCCGCATCGGGGTTGCCGTCTACGCCGGGCAAGTCACCAGGCCATGCCGGGGTTACGCCGTGCCGTCATGCCGCCACTAGTTGCGCCACCACCGGCTGCCACTGCCAGTAGCGGAGGAAAGGGCACGGCGAGCCGTCAGGGAAGCCGGACTTGCCCGTCCGCGCAATGAGGGTCGTGCATCCTCCGGGGACGCCGCTCGTGCCATGCCACCACCTCGCTGTGCCTCCGTCCTCGATGACCCTACCACATGTGTGCGCGACAGTACCGGACCACGCTCGATGCACCACACCTTACGGAGGAGCATGAATCTGCTGGTCGAAGCCATTTTCGTTGGGCTCAGCATTCAAAGTCTTGGTCTTCTATTTGCAAACATATATCGAGATGGATTTTGTGCAATGTATGAATGCAGTATCAGCATAACATTCAGTTTAGTATTTGTGCTTTTACGCGACGTTCCCATCGACAACGAGGCGTTTGTGGTGACTTCGTCAAATCTCAAGGATTTGTCGTCCCAGTCTTCGAAGATGCTTATAGGGATAGGCTGGGTTTGCGTGCGTGCGTTTATAGGAGTGACACTACCGGAAACCGGCGATTTGCCGAGTGCCGAGGCTTTGCCGAGTGTATTTTATCGGGCACTCGGCAAAGACCGTGTTTGCCGAGTGCCAAATAAAATACACTCGGTAAACAAAAACACACGGCAAAATACGTCTTTGCCGAGTGTTTTTTTCTGGCACTCGGCAAAGATGTATTTTGCCGAGTGCCTTTGTTTTGGCACTCGGCAAAGAAGCTTTTTGCCGTGTGCATTTTTTTTGCCCTCGGCAAATCATTTTTTCGAAGCAATTTTTGAGGCCCTAAATGAATTCAAATGAAAAACTTTTCAACTACAAAGTTGTATAACTTCTCAAGATCTACAAAGTTTATTTTGGTCATTTCTTCATTTGACAAAGCGACAATAACGTTGTTCATAAAATCTACATCTCTCATATCTCTCATATTAGTTTCATGAAAGTAGAAGATACATATATAAGATTTATGAACAATGTTACTACCACTATGTCGGATGAACAAATGACCAAAATAAACTTTGTAGATCTTGATAAGTTATGAAATTTTGTAGTTGGCAACATTTTGATTTGAAATCATCTTGTCATGCAAAAACGACGTTTGAATTTGAAAATTTTAAAATTTGAATTTTTCAAACAACCTCGGATGAAAAAACTTCCTAAATGAAAATTGTAGATCTCCAAAAGTTATGAAACTATGTAGTTGACAACTTTTTGATTTGAAATCATCTTATCATGCAAAACTATGTTTGAATCTCTTAAATTTAAAATTCAAATTTTTCAAACGACCTCGGATGGAAAAACTTACTAAATGAAAATTGTAGATCTCAAAAAGTTATGAAACTTTGTAGTTGACCACTTTTTGATTTGAATTCATTTAGGGCCTCAAACAAGCAATTTACTCTCAGTTTGCCGAGTGCTTTTTTCTAGCACTCGGCAAAGCCGTATTTTGCCGAGTGCCTATGTTTTGGCACTCGGCAAAGAAATTTTGCCGTGTGTATTTTTTTTGCCCTCGGCAAATCAGTTTTTCGAATCAATTTTGAGGTCCTAAATGAATTCAAATGAAAAACTTTTCAACTACAAAGTTAGATAACTTCTCAAGATCTACAAAGTTTATTTTGGTCATTTCTTTATTTGACAAAGCGACAATAACGTTGTTCATAAAATATACATCTCTCATATTAATTTCATGAAAATAGAAGAGAGATATATATGATTTGTGAACAATGTTACTACCACTATGTCGGATGAACAAATGACCAAAATAAACTTTGTAGATCTTGAGAAGTTATGAAATTTTGTAGTTGGCAACATTTTGATTTGAAATCATTTTTCATGCAAAAACGACGCTTGAATTTGAAAATTTGAAAATTTGAATTTTCAAACGACCTCGGATGAAAAAAACTTCCTAAATGAAAATTGTAGATCTCCAAAAGTTATGAAACTATGTAGTTGACAACTTTTTGATTTGAAATCATCTTATCATGCAAAACTACGTTTGAATCTCTCAAATTTAAAATTCAAATTTTTCAAACGATCTCGGATGGAAAAACTTACTAAATGAAAATTGTAGATCTCAAAAAGTTATGAAACTTTGTAGTTGACCACTTTTGATTTGAATTCATTTAGGGCCTCAAATAAGCAATTTACACTTGGTTTAGTATAATATATTGGGAACTAAAACGGAATCTGCACACATGTGACGATGTGGTGTAGTGGTAGAGAGAGGAGGTTTGTCTGTAATGAGAGGTCTTGGGTTCGAATCCCGTCGTCAGTAGTAGCCATGAAATTTACGCTGAAAAAAGCCGGAGATGGATGGGCGCCGACCGGTGGGGGCTCCACCAATTAAAAAAATTTCATTTTTTTGGGTAAAAATTCCCATTTTTTCGGTTTTTTTTCGTTCCAACTTTGTTGAGTGTCGGCACTTTCGGCAAAGGCTTTGCAGTGCCGATAAAGACACTCGGCAAAGACGCCTTTGCCGACTCTTTTTTGCCGAGTGCTCTTTTGTGTTGAATGCAAAAGACTCGGCAAAGCCTTTGCCGAAAGTGCAAATTGGGCTTTGCCGAGTGCCCCTGGCACTCGGCAAATTCACTGAGTCCCGTAGTGTGAGTGTCTGAGTTGTACTATGTAATCGTAAAAAAAAAATTATGAATGCCAGATCTAATTTCAGCGTTCAAAGTCTTGGTCGTATTCTCTGAGGATATGGAAACACAGGATCCGAGACGAAATTTCTTACTGTCTTACTGTTGTGATTGAATGTGTAGACCGGGCCATTTGGGAGTTGGGACCCAAATACAGTGCTATCGCCTACCGTGCTGGGGATGGCAAGGCTCGCTGAGTCGCGGTCGTTGTGTAGTGGAGAATTCCGGGGTGAGTAATGCCAAATGGCGACTCGTTACTGTCACCGATTGTAGACGAATGGGTGTGTCTCAGCATGTGGCAAGTAATTCAGACATGCAGCGACAGTAAGAAAAAATGATAATAAAAAGGGATTAATCAGCGATATGTGATAGATTAATTTGTGAGAAAGATTGTGGATGTCGACAAATCAACGTAAAAGAAACTACAACTCCTGAAGAAACAATTCCCTAGGAGAAGCCATGTGGTGCTTCGGGCCTTTTGGGATCCAATTCTCAGGATGAAAACGGATCGGATTCGCATGGAATCGAATCCGGATATCACACTTTTTACCACAT